AACCGTTTAATAAACAAGTTATAATGAGTTGAATTGAAGGGATTGACCCCCATTATTACACGGATTATGGTATTAAATGAGCCCACGTGAGGTTGACAAGACAAGTCACGAGATGAAGAATCTTTGATTAAGTCTTTTAACCAAACCAAGCTAACAAGAGGTTCGATAAACAAATAAGAAGTTTGGTTCTCTTTATGACCAAGCTCATCAATTTGTACAGAAAGAGCTCGGCTTGTATCAAGTCGAATTTATTAAAGTGTTCGAAAAGGCGATTGAAGAGAATGGTTTGTGCCAAACCAAGTCCTTAAAACTGTTCGACAAATATCAAATCTGTTCAGCGTGCGATATGTCCGAACTGTTCAAAACGATAGGCAGAAAGATAAATATTTGCCTATAACTTAGGCCATTGAATAAACGAATCAACGAAATTATAAATATCATGAGGATTTATTGGAGAAATATCAGCAACTTTCTAAACTGAATCACTGAATTGAAGAAAGGTGTGCCACCTTGAATCAAAAATCACGGAAACCCTAAGGGGTTGACCCTCTATAAAAAAATAGAAGAATCCAAAGTGAAAGATACGATGAATTCTCCTAGTCTTCTAGTAATTACCTCAGTTCTATTACTGACTTAAGCATCATAGTACATTCGATCGAAACACCTCAATCTTGAGCAGTTTGTTTGTTTTGTAAGAAGCAAAGACTGAGAGATCAAATTCAAAAATATTCATTACCAGAAATATCAAATTCAAATATTTAGTGAGAGGTATCGTTAATTTTTACCTCTTACATGAATTAAACCTATTAATGTGTAAAATAATTAAAACTATTAATATGAACATATATTAATATATTAAAAATATACACACTAATACATCAAAACACATACTGATACACTAAAAATAAACACACATATACTAAAACACAAAAAATACAAACACATTTATTTTATTGCTTTTGTCATGGGTCAAACCATCGGTTATGGTTGGGGCAGGTGTATTGATGTGTGTGCGCCTTTTGGTATACTAGTGCGTGTATTTTTTAATATATTAGTATATTTATTTAGTTTTATTATTTGTGTTATTTAATAAAAATATAAATATTAAACCCAATGAATACCAATTTATAATTCATCTTTACCTGCTTTCTCAATCTATTTAAAATTCGTATTAATTAATATAGATATCAAAACTATTTATTTATGGATGAGTTAGTCGGGTTAATGGGTAATGAATTAAGATTATTATGTTTAATTGAGATCTACAATTAATTTAATAATTATAAATGATTAGGTCAACAAATTAAAAAGTGTGACTAACATTGCCCATTAGTTGGGATATGGATTTGAGCTTCACAAGCACCCAAATGATTGGTGAGTACAGGGGCGCAGGCAGGGTGGGGACAATTGCCCCCACTGTAATTCTAAAAATTTGTAAGATTAATTTAAAATTATAATAAAAATTAATTTTTTTTAATAACTTGCCCCCACTCATTTTTTTTTAATGCACTAATAATTTAGACTCAAGATTCGCTCATAGAGTCTTAATTTCACAATTTTTCATTTAATCTCTACTTATCTTTATTCTTTCTACAGTGATTCACTTAAGTTACCAAATCAATATTTCTCTAAATTCGATTACTAAGACATACATATATATTTTTGACCAATTATCTAAGTTCAAATATACTACATCATTTTCTAAGATTTTAGATTTGGGCACATAAAAAATTTTGATTTGATTATGATTCAATTCAATTCACTTCAATCAAATATATTATATCAATTTCTAAGATTTTAGATTTGGGCGCATAAAAGAATTTGATTTAATTATGATTCGATTCAATTTGATATGCATACACAAATATGTATATGTAAACATTTGATAAAATTAAACAATTAAATTGAATTAAAATTACAATGAAACGCGCGCGCGCGCACACATACACACACACACACATATATATATATATATATATATATATAAGATTGGATTTTTGATAAAATTCACAATATTTAATATATTCGAATATGAATTAAAAAAATTGAAATCAGTTGAATAATTAGATTAGATTCAAAATAGGATTTTCAAGACAAATTGTTATTCGGATGAGTCAAAATCTTATCATTGACAAGTACACTCACAAAATGATATGTCAAAATAACATTCTCTATAAAAACTGTCTTTATTCTAATGCTTTAAAAAAAATTATATTAATTTTTCATAGTCAACTATCATTTTTTCATGTGTATTTATATGTGAAATTTTTGAAAGTAAAAAAAATAATATGAAGAATTATTTTATAAAAGGTGTTAGATTAGAATTTTTTTTTATAGAGAATGAAATTTTGAGGTAATAAATATTTCCACTAGATACAACGAACTTTAATAATTGTTGAATAATCATTCTCTTTTAATTTGATCGTTGCCTCTGATTCTCTTTAACTTGATGGTTGTCCCCACTGAAAAGAAATTATGGCTCTGCCCCCGGGTGAGTAGGTAAGAATTCAAATTTTATCGCTCTATATTTAATAAAATTCGAATCTTCATAACTACAACAACCCGGTGGAATTTACTCTCGATACTCTTGAGCACCCTGCATATCTATTTTGAGCATATGAGTATTGTCGTGGAGGTGGTGGTTCACTCTAAATTGGGAGATTTTTATAAAGAGTAATGCTACAAAATTAAAACTATACAAAAAAAAGTTACAAATGCATATCATCATTTGAAAGAATAGATTCTAACAATTTTGTCTCCAGGACTTATTCATCCAATGAATAATATATATTTGATTATAATTTTTAGGTTTAATTTGAATTGCGTAACATTTTTCTTTTAAAAGTTGTTGCTTTGTAAAGTTTCCTCTCATTAATTTCCAATAATCAATGCATATTATTGCTACTTCTGAGTCAATGAATAATCTCTGAAGCTCCGTATCAAAGCTGCTCATATGAAGGCCGACTTTACTTATACTCTATAAAGCATGCATATGGAATATGAGTACGATACGATACGAATATAGCGACACGATAAAATCTTAAAAAAAAAGATACGGGTATGGTCAAGATACGGTTATAGTAAAAATATATTTAATATTTTTATTATTTTCAATCAGCATAATATTTATATATATTGGTAATTTTTTAACACATAAAGAAAAATTAGTAATTCTTTTTAATTTGAAGAAAATATATATTGTATCACTATGATATATTCACAAAGTAAAGTGATTAATTAAAGGAATCAAAACTAATATTTATCAAATTGGTTTATTTAGAAGTAATTTTGCTAAGGTTATAATGTAATAAATTTATTTTATGCTCTGTTGACATGTAATTATAGATAATAATAATTAAAAAATATTCATGTGCCTTTGAATTAGTATGAATTTTTGTAAATATATTATATGGTATGTGAATTCGAAAGAAAATGTTAAAAATTCAATTCAAAAATTATATATATTACTTGAACACAAAAGTATTCGTGAAATATTCTAATATTTAATTATTATCGAATACATAAGGGACGTATCTGATACATATTATTAAATATCTGACGAGTATTATATTCGATACCAATGCACAAACCTCAACGAAACATCCCGCGGTTCGTAACTTATTCTTCATTGGGGCGTGAGAATGCTTGTATCAAGGCTGAAGAAAAGGACCTGCACATGTTTCTAGGAAACTTTCACGTATGATCGTGTTTGCAGGCTTGCAGCTAATTGTGGGGCTAAAAAAATAGGACCATTCACACATCTCTAGGAAAATGTTGCATCCAACAGTCCAGGATTTTCTGTTTGTAAATTAAATGTCACTTAAAAGTATATAAAAATAATGTCTTCCATCTGCTCGACGACATGAGTGAGAGACGCAATAACTCCATTGTTTCATAGACCTTCATTTCCACTGCTGCACCTCAACAGAGGTATGTATGAAACAATAATGATGTCTTCTTTGGGCACGGTGACAGTTTCAGTTTTTTCAAACCATTTCAATGTTTGTCTGGTATTTTGCATTCCACTTTGACTCCGCTACTTTGCAGGCACATCCTTTCTCACAGTCCCTGTCTTCTCTCCTTTCGCAGAAAGTTTCCCCATTAAACTTAACGTATGTCTTTCTGTTGCATAAATAATTGCTCTTGTTGATTAATCTAATTGCTCTACCTTATCGTGCTTGCCCGTTTATGAGTATATGATTTCCAATACATTTCCCTCCATCACATGTCACTCAATATGCATGTGAAATCATGTGTAGACCATTATATATATATGTGCAAATACTCGAAGGTAATTGTTTTACAAAAAACAACTCTCTCTGTCTCTCTCTCAGGCAGAAACTAACTACCAAAACCTCACAATAGTCATGCAAATTTTCTCAATCTATGTTTGAAGTTATTTGTTGTTAAAAAAATTAACTCTGGAGAAAATCTGGTGCTCAATATTTTTTTAGCATAATTACAATAGTTGTTTTTTTGGTCAGTTGTACTTTACTTGAATTGAAGTACAGATGTGCCCTTTTGCAAGAGAAAGGCCTTCTCCTGAAAACCGAAGTATTTTTTGATTCTACAAAACATTGCTGTTCGTAATATTGCTTCATTCCATACCCCTTTTTTGCTAATGGTGCTGGAGAAGGCACAATGGGTATAGGAAAGTGCATGAATGTTGTATGATCGAACTCGAACTAGCTGAAGTCGTACGAAACCTTTAAAGTTCTCCATTTTTTATCCGCCGTGGCTTTGTAATTTCATTGCCAAATCATCTCTTCATTGAGCATCTTTTGCTACTGGCTTTCCTGGGGCTTGAACTCTTATCAGTTCTTAAAAAGCAACTTTACACTACAAAGTTGCACTGTTGCATTATTACTGGGAGCTGGCTCATTGTCTGTTTTTGCATTCAGAATTTAAACATAAATGACCTAATTTCTGCTTGAAACATTGTGATTGGCCTTTTGGCATTCAGTGTGGTCGAGTAATTTCTTGGAAAGCCCTGCAAGCTGATGGAAGTCCGCGTGCCCCTCGTTTCAAGTGATGGGCCAAGGCACCATACTTTAACCCCACTCAGAGCGTTGAGGGGTGTGATTTGTATGCTTGTGTTACTCTTAACAGCATTTATAACGTTAGTGTACATTGTCTTTTTGACGGCGGTTATCCTTAGAATTTTCAGCTTACATTACAGCAGGAAAACAACATCCTTTTTCTTTGGCAGTTGGCTAGCTTTGTTGCCTTTTCTGCTTGAAAAAATAAACAAGACCAAAGTGGTCTTCTCTGGAGATTGTGTTCCTGTAAAGGAAAGAGTGTTGGTTATTGCGAATCATAGAGTAAAGGTTGATTGGATCTACTTGTGGGATTTTGCATTGCGTAAGGGATACCTTGGTTACATGAAGTATATTGTTAAGAGCATTGCCATGAAACTGCCTGTAATTGGTTGGGGATTTCATGTTTTGGAGTTCATTGCAGTGGGGGGGAATTGGGAATTTGATGAACCAACCATATGCAAAATGCTTTCAACATTTAGGGATCCTCAAGATCCCCTTTGGCTTGCTGTTTTCCCAGAAGGCACAGATTTCAGGTAATATCCGATTACCTTCTCCAAATTCGATTAAATCATCTCTCTGTGCTTCTCTTTATCTTTCATGCAAACCTGTGTTTAAGGATGAAAATTTTGTTTCATTTCCACTGAAACTACGGAAACATTTCATTGAAACATTGAAATTCTTCTGTTTGAGGATGTTTCGGTCAATGTTTTACATTGTTTTGGAGATAAAATTCCAAGCTATTTGAAACTATGCACTGTGACAAAATTTGATCATGGCACATGTTAATATATTTTGCTAGGAGTTTGTTCTTATGAGGATTTGGGTTGTTTGATTTCATAATGGTACATAAACTATAAGGTAATTAAAGGGATTTAGATTCTGAATTTTATGAGCGTGTAGTGCTGCTTACAAATCTTCATTAAAAAATCAGCTTTGTGTGTGCTTCAATAGAACCATGCAATTGGCAATTATGTAATGAGTGGTTCCTGATTACGTGTTCCATTTGTGTGACCTATTAAGTTTCTTCCATTTTTCTAATGAAGTGAACCGAAATGTATTGAAAGTCAAAACTATGCTGCTCAAAATGGACTGCCCATCCTGAGTAATGTCCTGCTTCCAAGAACAAAAGGTTTTTGTGCCTGCTTGGAGGAATTGAGAGGCTCATTGGATGCAGGTTGGTTTCACTCCATTTTTTGCTGTTTAAACCATTTACCATTTACTTTGGCATTTCCTTGTTTTGGTGCTTTTTATCTCATATACAATTAAGATTTAAATTATTTGATGTGATGGAATATATCTGATTACATTGATCAAGATTTTTGAATTTCGAGCATGGCTTGAGGAACGAAACGCAGATGTAGCACATGCACACCACTAATTGTGACTGTTTTTTTGAAACTTTCAATTTGCGTGTTTTTTTTAACTTTCTAGAAGATGTAAATTAAATCTGCTTTCTAAATTGGTTAGTGTATAATTAATAGGGTTGTATTGATTCTACCACTGATAATTAACCATTGTCATGTTGTTGGAGGTATTGGCTGACCTGGATGTTAACAGGTGGACAAGGGGATTTCCGCCCATGTTGCACTTCCTTTTTTGACACTTAGGCAGCCACTATGACTAACTTTTGATCAAGCATACTAAGGGGTTGTTTGGTAACTATCTTTGTCTTATGTTTTGTGTTTTTATTTTCAATTTTTGTCAAAAATAAAAACAAAAATAGGTTTGGGTACTGTTTTGTTTTTGTTTTTGTTGTTTTGGAAAAAATGAGAACAAAGACAAAAAAAAGATGTTCTAAAAAACACCAAAAACAAAGACAACACGAGCAAAAGGTTAAGGAATTAGCGAGATCCAAACTTCGACTCCTCTTAATAGGAAAACAAGACTTTTTTTGTTGAAGTATAAATCTATTTCATCCCTCTCTCCACCTCATCACTTCTCTCTCCGTCTCTCCCTCTTCTCTCCTTTCTCTATATTAGACGACCAGAAGAAACCCATCGCTGCCTCTCTCCTCCCCATCATTGTCTCTCTCTCTCTCTCCTCTCTTCCTCTTCTTTGTAAAACCCAGAAGTTGTGCATATATATGCACAGATCTGTGTATATATACACAGATTATAACTTGCAAGAGATTGACTTATTATAATATATTTCTCGATCGACTACAGTTAACAACTCTCTTTGTCTAATCCTCCCATTTATCAACTTCTAAGTTATGAGCACCAACAAAGTATACACTGCTCTTTAGATTCCATGGGTTCGCCTTTAAGGATTGCAATCTTAAAGGAACTACGGGTTCTTGTTCAGTTCCTGGATACACTGATTAGACTTGCAGATACTAGAGGGTTTCTGTTCGATCTCTGAATATGGGGAAATCAGTGTCATACCCATTGGTTCTCAAAAGGATTTCCGATATTCAATCTTGTGTAGATTTATATGCTTTTCTTTTTTTATCTGTGTATATTTACACAGATTTGTGCATAAATATGCATAGATTTGTGCGTATGTGTGTTGTGTTGATTTGAGATTTAATTGTCAAATAGATTCCAAACATATTTAGGATAAAATTTGAAATAGTTACCAAACATATTTTTTGTTTTTATTCTCATAATTTGATAGACAAAAACGATTCCAAAACATATTTTCTGTTTTAGTGTTTATCACAAAACAAAGACAAAAATATCTCTGTTTTTAATTTTTTTCAAAACACGAAAACAAAAACGTTACCAAACAATCCATAAATTTTTTAGCTCTTTATTCCCTGAAAATAAAGATTTACCTTATGAATTTAGTGTTGGTCATCACTATAGGGAACAAAACTTTAAATTTTCAAGTATGAGTTGACTGTTCTGTTCTTTTAATTCTCTCTGTTGGTCACCTCATTATGAAAAACTAATGAGTTCACTTGACTTATGCCTTAATCACTATTATTTCAAAGAATTGAGAAAAAAGGGATACATAAACAAAATAGGAAGAGAAGGGCAATTTGCATGTTGGTTCCGTTGTGTGCGTCATCTAAAACAAAAACTATTGTAAGCCCCACAATGGTGCGGCACGAATGTTTTGGTTGCTTGATAAGTTCCTATGCACTCCCCTCCAAAGATTAGTCCCTTTTGGAGGTAGTGCATGGATTTGGGCTTATTGGGTTTTCTTGTCTTCTATCATTTTGCAATAATGTTGGTGGCCCTTCACAAAAATAGTCTGTGTGTGTAGATTAAGACTGCATATATATAAACTTTCCTGAACTTTGCAGTGACCAGACTCCCGTGCATTGGACTGTTCCATATGCTATTCGACTGCGAGAAAACTAGCCATAATGATTTCATATTGAAGCTATGGTTTCAAATTTGCATCTATTGATCCTTGTGCTGAAGAAGTTATTCCGCATCTTTTTGACAATCTGCTTCCTGCAGTTTATGACCTAACTATTGGGTACAAGCATCGGTGTCCATCTTTCTTGGACAATGTCTTCGGGGTGGATCCATCTGAAGTTCACATTCATGTTCGGCGTATTCCTCTTACTGACATCCCAGCATCCGAAGACCAGGCTGTTTCTTGGTTGATAGATACGTTTTGTCTCAAGGATCTGTTGCTCTCAGATTTTTATTCACAAGGTCATTTCCCTCGTGAAGGAATAGAAGGAGACCTGTCTACGGTGAAGTGTTTGGTAAACTTTATTTTCATAATCATCTTGACCAGCATATGTACTTTGTTCACTTATTTTTCATCCCTCTGGTTCAAACTGTATATTTCCTTGGTATGTGCATATCTTGTATGTGCTACTTACCTTGATTTTCGACCATTGCCCATTATGGCCTTGTGAAAGCTGCATATCTTATTGCAATCTATTCCTTTCGTGAATGAAGATAACCCTATCAAAATATCAATGGGTTTGATTATTATTTATTGGTGTAATTCTTTGCCTTGCCAATGGTGTAATCCACAGAAGGCTTGTTATACAATAGAGCAAAGAATATCATAAACTACTGCATTATAGGAGCCATTCAAGAACTCTCTCTCTCTCTCTCTCTCTCTCTAATCTGTAACTTGCAGCTCTTCAAAAGACCGTTTCATGGAGGCAGCAGACGTAATAGTTGCAGAAGCAGCTGCAACAATTTTATCATCATCATGAAGGAAGTCACCCACAATCTCCAAGCATTCTTTCACCACCAATTCTTCCCAAGCCTTATCAACATCTTGGCCACATTTCTCGAAAACACGGGTTGCATCAATACGGTGAATCGCCCACCTGAGCTCGTTTCTCAGTCGCTTAATCTTCTCTCGCTGACGAGAAGCTAAGTGACAGGTATTGGCCTTAATCTCTTCAATGGCGGCTCCAAGCAGCATGTCTTTGTTTTTCTCATCCAATATTTTTATGTCGGCACGCAAGTACTTGTCCATTTCCGGCACCCCGATAGCCCGGCGGATGCCTCTGGCGTAGTCTGCCTCCGTTGCAAATATCCCTCGTACCTCGTCAACTAGTCCTGCATGAATCAATCGTGTGATGACAAATTCAAACTCTTTTATGTTTAGTAGTTTCAGTAAGAGGGATAAAATTTGAATTGAACTCGATACAAAAATTTGTAATCTAGAAATGATTAATTTACAACAGAAATTCAAAATTAATCAGACTTCTCAAGATGAATAATAAATAGAATATGTTAGAGCCAAAAGACGAACAATCTAATTTTAAAATGTTAAATTTGTTTAAATGTTGTTATGGGGAAAAAAGAGATGAATTTTTTTTTTGGCTTGTGAGAGAAAATTACAAAATTTTATATTCATAATTCAGTCGTTATACTTTTTGACCTAAATATAACATGATTAAATATAAAAGTTGAATTAAGATTGATTAGCACTCTACACACACACACATTGCAGCCTATAAAGTGGGAGGTTTGTAATAAAACTAAGAGTAATTCGTGCTTAAAGGCACAATATGATGAAAGTGAGAAGTAATGAATTTAGCGTGAAAGGGAGGGAAAAATTCAATGTGAATGGTTTTGAGAAGGATGTTAGTGATCGTTGGATAAGTCTATTTGACACTATCGAATATGCTTATTAAAATTTACCCTATTTTATATTATAGATTTGTAAAATATTTTTTTAGGGAAAATTTCAATAAAGAATGTTAAACTTAAACTTGTGCTTTAAATTGAAGTGCTCTTGAGTTTAAAACCCGTTTTTATAAAAATCAAAGTAGATTGAATTAAAAAAATCTGTTTAAATAAACTTAACTTATCGTTTGTGATCATTCTATAAAAAATTTAACGGTCTGCTTGCATAAGGATCAAAATGACAAGAATTAAATATTTTAGGGATCGAATTGATAAAATTGATACAATGATGACTAATTGACAAAAAAAAAAATTACTTTAGGAATCAAAAATATTATTAACCTTTTAAAAACCATTACGAAACTGAGCCTAAGTTCATGGATGTTCGGAAATTGATTCTTAGGTAACATAAACGGTGAAGGGAACAAAGGACAGACCTGCATCGACCATCTGATCAACCCTTTCAGACACAGAAGAGTGTAAAACTGGTGAGGAAACGTCAAGCCATATGAAGCAACAATCATAGTTAGCCCTAAACTTGAACAAGAAGTGGTCCTCCACCAGTGCTTCAATGAACGAATTTGATCCACCAACAATGATTGGAACTCGACCCGACCTCACAATCCATTCCATGGCCAAAAGTGCCTGATAACAGAAGTCACCAGCAGTAAAATCAGAGTCAGGCTCGACCTCTCCCAACAAATGGTGTGTCACACCCTTTCGCTCCGCCTCAGAGACCTTGTTGGTCACAATGTCTAGCCCCTTGTACACTTGTATCTTGTCCGAGTTGATAATCTCTGCCGGAAATTGCGTGGCGATGTCGATGGAGAGTCGTGATTTTCCGGTTCCGGTGGCTCCCATGACGAAGATAACCTTCTTCTTCTGGAAGTGAGCTCTGAAGGAGTTCATGAGTATTGATGCTGAACGTAAAAACCTACAAAAATAATGTAAAGATAAAATGCAATATAAATTCTATCGAAGTACCCTTCCTTTATATATAAACTTGGTCTTAGCGCATTTAGTGATTGAACTGAAAAAAAATAAAAATTACTTCTATTTTGATCATCTCAATATTGGAATTCTAGGCTAAATTAATACTTCAACTAATTATTTAAAAAATTCTCAATGGTGAAGAAATTTCTCAATAAAACAAAGTTTTTCTCTCTCTAAATGAGATGCACTTGCTTTGTATCTCTGACACACGATTATGCATTTTTTGTTGAGGTGGGTCTTAGGAATTTATTTTCTGCAAGGAAAAAAAAAATGAAATAGATTTGACTCCGCACAACCTAATAAGAAAATTGAAATCCGTTGTCTGATTTTCTCTTAATATAGAAAAAAAAGTCATGGACATTCAATTCCATTGACACTGGAGTTCTTTTGGGACCCACATATCATGGAGCTACATATAAAAACAAAGAACACTGAAAAAGTATGAACCCTCCGTGGCGTTTATAGAACATGGCTTTTTTTTTTTTTTGGTTTTATGATTGGTTCTTTTCACTGATTCTGCAAATTCTGATATGTCAACAGTCACAAAAAACAATGTTGATCACAAAAATGCTATATAACATAAATGAAATCTAAAAAATTACAATTTAAATGCTTATCGTCCCTTAAATGAGTGGATCTAATCAATTTTTTTCAGTAAGATTCGCTCATTTAACACTCATCAAAAAATAAAATGTATTTTAAATTTTATTTAAATCATGTAGTATTGCCAATTTGTTCGGTACCAAGTAAAAGAAACATAATTGAATTTGTTTGCTTCTTATAATATTCTTTAGAAGCAACCAAAAGAAGAAAAAAACAAACAAAACCCATCTCTATTTGAAGGAAACAACCAGAGGAAGAAAGATTGGAAGCATACATCGGGAACAAACCTGTTACTGTGAAGAGAGAGAGGTTTTTTCTTTGGGGCCCAGGGGGGTGGGGTTGTTTAATTTTTATTTTTTTTAAAGAAAAAATTGATGAACATGAAGGATAGAGGTCAAGGTTATATAAATATATACTCTCCAGCCATGTACGGATAAATTTGACAACACAGACAATTAATGTTGAAACTTGAAAGGAAAGGATTGGAATGGAGTCCACTGAGAGATAAGGCTATTTAAAACTTACTTATTTTACATTTTTTGTTTATGAGTCTGGGGATTAATTTACTTTCCAAATAAAGTGGAACCTTGGACCAAAAAGGAAGGATATCTCATTTCATTGTCGCCGCGTTTACGTTGTGGCTTTTGTCTTATTTATGGCTTTTGTCCTCGTGTAATAAATACTATTCTAGTAAGCTTTATCCTATTTGTGTAGTTACCAAAGGAAAATAAAAATTCCTAAAAAAATTTTAATACTGTATTTTTTATTTTTCACGGACCGTAACATGAGATTTATAAAATTTTATTTTAATTAATTTTAAGATTAACAATCACCAATAATTTAATATAAGATCTATAAAGATGGTATAATAGTGTTATACGGTACAAGAGTGTGAGTATATGTTGATTATTATGATTCCAAAAAAAATATATAAAGAAAACAAGGTGTTACGAAGAAAGGAATAAATATATGGTGAAAACAATAAGTTTTCTATCTGAAATATTCATGGTACAATAATGTTATTTGAATCTAATTTGTTAATATAATAATTCATAATTATTGAGTTAACAGTGGATCACGTATCCATTTCAAAGTGCTCATTAATGTTTCTTTAGACTATACATTTTAAGGTTGAGAGCTCTCTTTTTTTTTTAATATATATTACCATTGTTAATGGGTTAAACGGATTGAAACGAATCTATTGGTTAAACATGAAATCTGTTCGTTTATTTTACGGGCATGTTGAATTAACCCATTAACCACCCAAACTTGATAAATTCGTGTTGAATATGTATCGATTTTACAAGTCGTGTCTAAGATTATCAAGCGTAACTACAAGTCAATCAAGGTTAAACTTTTGCTAAAACACTTGGAATCCATCTAGGGGTGTCAATCGTGTCGGGTTAAACGGGTGACAAGTAAAAAACGTATAAACTCATATACAACACATTTAATAAACGGGTAAAAAATTTCAACACGAATACGACTCGTTTAACCCGTTTAATTTTAAAAAAATTATATCAACAAATTTTAATACTCTATTTTTTTATTACTAATTGCACTTACCTCAAAAAAGAGAAATTTTAAATCAAATCTCATAAAAATAAGACCATCTCCCCTCATTTTTCAATGTGGGACAAAAATAAAAGACATTTGTTTGTCTTTTGCCTTTGAAGTGCTATCCAACTCTTTTCCTTTGTCTTTGAACTACTACTTTACTTTTTTTTTTTTTATTGATTTATTTACTTCTTTTTTTCTTGCTAATTTTTTATTAAATTATTATATTAATTTTATTTAAACGGATAAACGTGTGATAAACGATTTAACAAGTCTCACCCGAACACGACCCGTTTATTAGACGTGTTTGACGCGTCAACCCGTTTATCACCCAAACTCGTTAAGATCTCACCCAAACCCATTTAATTCGTGTTGATTCGTGTCGGTTAATCGTGTCGTGTCGAATTTTAACAACCCTAGATCCATCCTTACCCATTTTAGGATTTGTTTATCATAGTAGCGATTAGAAACTTATTTATCACAGACAAAACATTTGTCGCAAATGCGCCAGAAAGTAATTTTTGATACCATACCCCTATCCTGCTGAGAATGGACAACAAAAACACAATGAAACACAGGACAATATTTCAATTGGATCAATATAAGGTCACAAGATGGAAATGCAACATCAATTCTCACAAAAGTTGGAGGATACAAAAAGATACATTCAAGTCACATGCAAATCAATGTCCAAAGGATAAATTGGAGATCAAGAAACATGAACTGGCTAGATAGTTATATCGAGGACAATGAAGCAATTCACCTGGGATCTGCTTCTGCTTCTGCTTCGAAAACATGACTTCACACCTTGAAATAACTACCAGATACAATCTTACACAGACAACAAGCACCACTCCACACGCGCGGGAAAGGAAAAGCCCGAAAATAGTATACAGCTTTCTGCATTTTCATTCCAACCATGGATTATCAAGGAATCTCATGGATGACAAAAATAGGACCTGCTGTGCGAATGATGTTGGAATCCAGAACAATGAAGATATTGATAGTGAGAATGTAGGAACAATGAAGATACTGGACCTACCCTTTCTTCAAAGAGTCATTTCTAGATTTTTCCAATTCCCATGGTGGTAAGCAGTCGTCATAATGAGACTGTAGGAACAATGAAGATATTGATACTTCACTCTCCTTCTGATGCATTGAAATTGATGAAAAGCAACTGAAGGAGCTTCTTAGACCCTTCTTTTCACTATCATTGCCTTGGAAATCTGAGTCACGCCGTACTGCAGAAACTTTGAGGGTCTCTGGAAGGATGCAGTTGCACAGGGAACCTACAAGGAACATGGAAAAGAGAAAAAAAAATACGTAAGGAGGAAAAGAAAAAGGCCACCACAATACTATATACATATATATGTGTATATATGTATGTCTATGTTTTTTTGGGGCGGGAACGCTTGAAAAAATGGTCGAGGCATTCGGATATTCTCAATTCTTAACAAACATCAGCTTCTTCCAAAAGCAGCTGCTGCTGGCTTCTTTCAAGGTTTCTAGGACTTTAAGAATCAAACTAAATAGGATTCAACATTTTAATAATTGTTTAGTAAAAAATTGAGAAAATACTTAAATAAATAGTCCACATAAAACAATGAGAATAAGAATATGAGAACCCTCCCACCCCCTCAACCCTTCCTTCACTCCAACCCAAAAAATGGGGGAAAGAAATCGAAGAAAATTTTGAGATGGTGCAATAGGCGAGTGTTTTATGCATATACCCAGGTGGGAAGTGTGAGTGGAGTCGAATCTAGACGTAAATAGTGGAATGGGATGAGGGAAACACTATATCAAGTACCTATCCTTGCTAGCCGATTTACCCACTTTGGGATCCGGTTCCCAGTCAGTTTGTAACATATGTCTTCACAGAAATGGTTGCAGTTCTTCACAACCAAGTGATATGTATCGCCATTGTAGCTTGCAGATTGGCACTCTATGAATTCTCTAACCTGGATTGGATCCAAGTCTGTCGTCCCGATGAAGATTGACTTTCTGAACTTGAAGCCAGGAGATTGTCGGGGTTCAATCTCAAAGACACCACTTGTTGGATATTCATGAGCTCCAAATGCATATTCTACGCCATACACTGCAAATGCATACAAAGACAATCGGGAAGGTTTTTCTTTCATCTCATGCATGCTAACAAAGAAAGCAATCTTCAACTAATTTTTCAGTATAATTATGAACAGACAGATTGAAGCTCACATGCATATTGCAAGCATGCTTACATCTTCAGTTAATTTCTAAAATTTATAAAGTAGGTTATGAAAACTGAAAAATGAGGAAGAATGACGATTTAACAATGTAGTTTATTTTATAGCAAATGAATACAGAAAAATCCTCTTGAAGCTCAACTATTGTTGCATCAACAAAGCATTTATGGAAGGGATCTGTTACAAGCATATACTCTGGTTGGTGCAAATTATCTCCTAAATCACAGGAAATCGTTTAGAAACAGGTTTTCAAAATAGAACCGCCAATTTCTACATGCTTAAAAGTGCTTGGGGACCTGGACACACAATGTAAAAGGTCAAGGAGGTCAAAAGTTCCAAACTGAAGTTATTGAGAGGTGTCTTAAAAGGCACTGCCTGTTGAAAAAAGACATCAAATTCCAGCAAACTCGGTTCAAAATAGGATTTTCCTAAGTCAGTAACACCATACCACTATTTAGCAATTCCAAGGTGGGAAAAAAAACCCAAGTAGTATCAAAATTGAGAGACGAAAAGAAAGGAAGATCTAAAACTACAGTTTCTTTTGTATGGTAAAAACAAGGACTTCACCATCCATGAATCAGTTTTGATGAAGGCAAGGTAATTGTCACGGAATCAAGGTGAAGTGGAGAAAGAATATAAGAGGAATGGATAAGATCAACCAGTCTTAACCCAGTTAGAAAAGTGAAACAAAACAAGTGACTAGAAATGAACTCATAATTAAGCAATATAACAGTCAATAGGCAGCAGATAAACAATCCATCCCAGAAGAGATATTTGCTCTCTTCAGCATCTGTTTTTCCTCTTTCTTGTATTTTCCCCCTTTAGTTACATTCTCTGAGCTTATATGATACATAGACATGAGATAACAAACCCAGTGTTTAATTAAGATTTCGAATAGCGGTCCCAAATTCAAGTCAATCAATAGCCACCCAACAGTGGTATAGCCAACAACCCCACCCCATAGACATATGTTAATTACTATTGGCATTGTTCTCCATGGGTTACCAAGTTTCTGACAACATTTGCACAGACTTCCGCAAAAGAAAAAAGGAACATTTTTTGGAAGAAACCAAGGTTTATATTCACGTACTTAATCTTGTCCATTTTCTGAATGTTGCTCTCTGTCAATACATGTGCAAAATCAACAATTACAATCTCAATGATTCTGAACAACACTAGCAGTCTATTCCAAGCAACACTCAAGTCTGCAGGTTCATATGAAAAAAAATGCAAAAACTTCAGAGGGTAATCTAACCTTCCACCCCAGTGTGAAATACACCAAGACCAGCCCAATAGAAATAGCCATTCACGGGTGTCAAGTCATACACATTCAGATAAACAGGTGTGTTGCCTGGACTATAGCCTGCTGACTTCACTTTTGGGAACATGCAAAAATTGATGGCTGATTTGTCTCGCAAATTAACAGGCATGATTGAATGCAATCGGTTCTTCGGTTCTGATTTCATGTTTATGGGTGAAACTAGGAATTCGTCAACACCTAGTTCCAACCTGCAATAGGGAAACATAAACATCAACTGCATCATATAAAGGAACCAGGGTGAGATAACAAACTATATTATTAACTGCCAAAAATCAGAGTTGGAAGTAAATTATGTTGAGTGAAAAAAATAGGTGAACTGTCTGTCATACATACTTTTTATTGAGAACCTAAAACTTCATTCGTTGACATCCAAGTGTGCCACCATGAAACCCAGTGGCTTTGAAAACAAAGCAAAAGTTTTCCAACCAGCAAATGCTTAATATGTTACTATGCATAAATTAAGTTCGAATTCAAAGCTGCAGAATCAACAGAGATTCACTCATTCATTGGGTGTGTACTCCTAGTTGCACATTGTTCCACAAGTAACTCTGTAATTGACCACCCTATTATAAATTAACTTGTATGTGACTTAAATGGTTACCTGATATTACTAAGACGATAAAATGTAGTAAAGCATTATCCGAGTTTAAGATATATCTTGCTTTTTGAATAAGTAAATCAGCTTCCTTTTAGTTGTTAGGCAAGAAAATCAAGTCTTCCAGCTAATCAAAGAGGGACCAAAAAACAAGATATATGCGTGTACAAGCTAAACAAAATCTATGCATGTACTTTCTCATTGCTCAACAAGGAAAAAGCAAATTCAAGGTGATGTGGAACCATTCAATCACAATATCTACATTATTTCTCATATTTAGATCTTCAAAAGGATCACTGAAACATCTCTTCCTGCTAAGTAAACTGCCATGATGGCAATTAACAGCATAATGAACATGTCTAAAAATCGAGCAGTCAAAAGTTGCAAAAATCTCAAAATGAGAGGATGATAGTAATCACAGCACAAGCTGAACTACACTGCATAAAGCTGACACACTTTTAGCATATAGATCAAGGGATAGTCTAGTTGTTAAGTTGCATCAAGTAATTGCAACACTCAGGTTGCCAAGCAGGTCACCTCTTTTGTGAATTGTGAACAGTACTGATGTGTATGCATAATTCCGTCCTCCAGAACAAGAGGCCTAAGACTTTGAAGCGCAGAACACCGAGTAGCAGGTGGAGCCAATTAAGCCAGTAAATGGACTAACATGGTAGAAGATACAGCTAACTTCTAATCTTTAGTTCTAAGAGTGGAACCACTTAATAAAAACCCACAAGGTAGGTGCCAATGTAACCTTTTCAAAAATTTCAATATATATATTTCATAAGCAGAGATAATCTACCTTCACTGGCAGGATTATTTTCTCTCTTGCGTTCCAAAATACCCATATGAAAATCTCAAATCTTAACTCTGCAATCCTTTGATTTCCCTAATAATTATCGCAATTTATAAATCTCTAGAGAAGCAAAGAAGAGATCTTTTTAGGGATCAATCAATTCAGCATGACTGTTATAATACAAGATCCCAGATATGCTAAATCTGGAAAGCACGAGCATAATCTAAAATAAAACACACTCTGGGCATGCAGAAGCATTCTTGTCTGCTTAGCTTCCCCAACGCCCCAGTGTAAACGTCAACACTGACAGTTATGTTAAGAGTGGTCGAACCACCAACAAAGAACTACTACATCATGTCAGCCCCAAAACTTTATTTTGTCCTCGTAATTGAAGTCTTCAGTTTCTGTTTTTTTTTTCATTTTTACTCCAAGGCAGACCAAAATCAGGAAAGCTCATATTGATTCACTTGTTATCACCTAGTGTAGGTCACTTCACTACTGTGGACGGTAACTGAATACATACAAATTATGTTTACAAATTAATGGATCAACCCTTTTGTCTCTACACTTCAAAATCAAAACTTCCAAAGTGTAGAATTTTGTTGATCCATTTACTCCCAGGAAGGTGGTAAAGACAACCACTAGAATAGATAGGCGGTTCTCAGGTAGTTTCGTTTTATAAAGGCAAAAAAGAGCAAAACAATATAAGATCTAAAAGAATGGAAACCCAGAAGAGGGTTAGCTACAAATTTCCTAAGTAGAAAAAAAAAAGTACTTCCTTCTATTTTTGCTGGGAATAAAAGAACCATACACATGCCGATTCATCTGTTAAAAAATCAGATTAGATTTACCAAAGAAAACCCAAGAAGGAATGGCTGAAGAAGGAGATCAAGTAATGCAGCTCATACAGAAACCAAAAAAGAATCAAGAAACCGATTCTTTTTTAAGTTAAGACAACCCCATCAATGAACAATTGAATGTCAGAGAGACCCATTTTACCTTTTGCTCAAGACACTCATCAGAGCTTGAAAGAAGCAACTGTCCACCAACATGCCCAAAAACCTGTCATTTTCACAGCAGATCGACCATCTTGAGTGGTATATATGGGCCTGAAAAACACACATTGTTTTGGCAAATATCAAAACTGTTAAGAGTCCTGAACTGCTATCCTTTCAGAGCTAGGAAAATAAAAGGAAAGGAAGTAGGAAAGATTATCTCAAATTCGGTCCAAAGGTGAAAGAAATCTCTCCATTCGATCCTTTGATTTAAAAGGCTATACGATTCGAGTGACGACATCGTGGTATTATTCTTCGTTTTGTATTTTTTTTCATTTTGATGTGAAGTGTTTTACCCAAAAAAAAAAAAAGTGAAGTCTTTTTATGTTGTTTTGTTATTTCTAGAGAGAATTTCACTTTGTATCGTAAAAGATTTTAAAAAATTTTATATTACACTTTTAACCAATCCAAAATATTATAATGTGACATTTTCGTTAAATTTTGTCGTTTATTCTATCAAAATCACCACTGACTTTGACAAGATGATAAATAAAAATTAATAAAAAATATTATATTACAACACTTTTAATATATTAAGCATATAATGTGAAAACATAAATACTAGACTGTTAAAATTTAGAGTTTAAATGATATGACAGTTGACTTGGTTTTTTTGATTGATATGATATCATTTGAGCCCAATAAAAATTTTTAATAATTAACTGTCTTATCATTTGAACTTTAAATTTTATCAGCATAATATTACTCGGTGTAAAAAATATAATGTTTGAGAGTCCAAAAGAAGACTTTACTACTTTACCTTGGATACGGTGTTAGATCATGGTCTGACTCGTCTACAATAAGTAAGAGAATCAATTGCACGTTATACGGTTTAACGGAACGACGCCTTTTTACAACTTTTCTTTTCTCTTTTTATTTTTTAAACTCACTCACAAAAAATCGCACCGTTTTGGACCCAGCGTCACCAAAACAAAATCACAGTCAGATTATTGTCTAAATATATGGATATTCTGTTTAATTATTTTATAATTTTTTTTATCAATGGTATAATGGTAAATTTTAGATTTTAATAAAATATATAAATCCAACTATTCGCATGATTTGATTTAAAAAAATAGAAAAATTGATCATAATACTATCCTAACTATTTCCTTTGTCATTAACAGTTTAGAGAATATAAATCTAATTTGTTGTGATTTTACTTGTATTTTGTTTGTATATTGGTAAGAGTAACAAAGAGCCATATTTTACTTGTATTTTGTTAATTTTTAAATTAATAAAATATATATCTTGTTTTCGTTAAAAAAAACCAATAAAACAAAGGGCCGTATCTTACATTTGAAATCTTCTAATTGCGACTATTTTTTTTTTGAAAAGTTCTAGTTGCGACTATTGAGAGGTCACACCCATCAACATTATAGATGAGAGACTCGTCTATTAATGTTAAATAATTTATATTAATTAAAAATAAATAAAATGTAATTGATAGGATATTGGCTTTATCAAATGTGTTCGAATCAGGAATTCGCGTATGTTTTTTTTATCGGTAAATTGCCAGCTGGCAATTCTTGAACTCCAACAGAGTTCAATTCTTATTTTTGGTGTTATAAGGTCAGGTGACGCCAAGCTGCCTGCGACTCCTCAATTGTCAACAAATATATATTCTAGGAAAAATTTTATGTATATCCTTTGTAATTAAATTTAAATTCAATGATACCACTTTTCGATTCTAAAATTTCATTATCACCCCCTATCAGTGTTTGTTGAGTTACGGTGTTAACGACAATTGATAATATATAGAAATATTCTTAAATATTTTATAGAATAAATTTTATCTATATCCTATGTAAATAGATATAACTTCCATGACACTTTCTTTAAATTTATATAATAAAACAAAAGTGTATTTGAATTTTATCTCAGTCATATTTTTTTTCTTAAAACCATCATCAATCATTTATCTCACCCATTATTTTTTGTCAAAATCAAACGTCAAATCACATCACTCATTTCTATCATGTATTTAATCATTTATATATTTTCTTCCTAAAAATATCACACAACTCATTTCTATCTTATATTTAATTATTTTTATAGTTAATATATTTTAAAAAAATTTAATATAGTGGGATCGATTTTTTGAATGCTCAGATATGGTATATATAGTGAAAAAATGATTGAAGGTATTTTAATATATTTACATAAAAACTGATAATTTTGACATTACAATCCCTAAAGATTTGATTCACCGTAACACATAACCCCCTTGGTTAATGTCCTTTTGTCAAAATTGTCAAATTTGATCACGTCAATATATTTTATTCTTAAAATTTTCAAACTACCCATGTTTTACACAAAAATTAAAAATTAAAAAACCCAATAACTATTTAAGTTATTTAAAAATCCAACAAATAAAATACAATATTCTTTTAAACCTCCTCAAATTTGTATTAAAACATTAAATCACAATGCTCAATCCCAAACATAGAAATCGAAAATGAAGGAAAAATACTATTTGAACATAATGTAAGAGGTTAATTAATTACAACCGTTGGATTAAAAGAAAATGGAAAGAAGAAATGTGGGTGTTTAAACTCATTATGTTTTTTGTCACTTTCAATGATGTTTTTAAAAAATTAATAAGTTTAAGAATTAAGTTTGAAAGTGATTGAATTTTAAAAAGAAGAATTATACTCAGATCTTATGAGGTTTATCACTTAATAACTCAAACTCTCTAACATTTAAAATATTACACACAAACTCTCTAAGGTTTGTGCGCGCATAACACTTAAATATCTGCTATAAATATATTTGTTAATAAATTAGATCTCCTAAAATTTGTGGGTATATAATACTTAGACTTTTAAGTTTAAAATATTATACTTAGATAAAAAATACTTTACTCAAATATAAAATATAAAATATTTTAAATTTTACAATAAAAATTCATGTTTTATTGTATCATTTATTAAAATAAAATCAAAAATAAAAATTCAAAATTTTTTGAATAAAATATTGTAATTAGATACAATTATATTGATTATTATAATTTAATTTAGTTGTTTAAACTATTAAATTAAAATACCAAACTATCTATATTAAATCTAAAAGATATTGTGTCAATTACAGTTTGATTATTTGTTTAATTTTTTAGTTTCGTCCTAATAGACAGTATAAATATATACTAACTATGTTTTTTTTTAAATAAGTTTTTATTTTTGATTTTATTTCAATAAATGACATAATAAAACATGAATTTTGGTTATAAAATTCATGTTCTATAATGAATGACTTAGACTTATTGTTTTATTTTTTAATTTTATTTCAATAGATAGTATAATTGTATACTAATTATTTTTTTTTAAGAAAAAATAAAATTTTATTTTTAATTTTATTTCAATAAATGATACAATAGAACATGAAATTTGATTGTAAAATTTAAAATATTTGATTTGGTTGAAGTATTTTTTGTCTAAGTATAATATTTTAAACTTAAAAGGTTTAAGTATTATATACTCACAAACTTTAGGAGAGTATAAATATAATTTATTAACGGATATATTTATTATAGGGGTTTAAGTGTTACAGACATACAAACCTCAAAGGATCTGAGTGATTAAGTAATAAACTTCAAAAAACCTGACTATAATTCTCCCATTTTAAAATTAAGATTTCCAGGAAAATAAGTTTGGTGAAAATCTCACCACGTCTCTAACTGTAAATGTGTGTGTGTGTTTTTTTTTGTGATTTAAAAATTATTTATACCAAATTAATTATTAAAGATAAAACTCATTAAAAGCAATTACGATATCAAGCATAGATCCAAAGGAAGAAAACATATTCTTTGTTTGAAGACTTAATCAAATTATAGCCGTTAGATTAAAAATTTATTTCACCTATTGACTAATTATAATTATAAAAACCTCTTGCAACTCTTTAATCATTAAATAGATAAAAATAAATTAAAAATATATCAATAAAAAATAAATAATACTGTAAAGTATTGAATCAAACGGTCAATTGGGAAAACTTGGAGGTAAAGTATGATTTAGTTTCCAAATTTCTTCAAATCGCGAGAAATAATTAAAAGGCTAATCAAAAAGGAAACAAAATCAGAGGGAGATTAAAAGCAAAGATCTCGTCATCAGCGACACAGCCAACGGCATTTATCTTTTATAAAATCATAAATTCACAGAAAGAAGAACAGCGGGTAACGGGACGGCATCAAACCTCCGAGTCCCGATGTACGAGCGATCGTCTCTCCGTAGACCCTAAATTCCGCTACCAGATCAATTCTTCACCTCTGTTTGTTTGATTTCTCTCTCCTCTCTCCCAAAAGATTCAGCATTGTCAAGCAATGGAGTTGTTGATCGAACTCTGCGATCTGATCGCTCACAGGCCTTCGCAGTTTGCTGATAAATTGGCTTGGATTTGTGGCCGATGTCCACCAGTTGAATTTTTGAGGGTTTCGGGGTCACAGCTTCATGCAGTACTCGCCACCGCCAATTTCGGCGACATGATGCCCAAACCGGCAGTCCTAGGGCTTTTTAGGTCGATTCCGTATTCTTTCGCCCAATCTTTTTGGCCATAGTCGTTCGCTTGGTTTTTTAACGATTTCACGAGTTATGTGAATAAAGCCAGTGAGTTGTCTTCGGATTTTGCCATGGCCGTTGTGGAGTATACAGGAGGGATTGTGATGTCGGCGATTAACAATGTCAGTGGAGATTTGGGGGTTTCAAGGGTTTTCTTGAATGCTCTGTCGCAGAATTTTCCTCCAATTCTTCCTTCCCATGCAAACAAATCAGTGTCCACTCTTCTGGATCGATTTGAAATTTCGGTTCCTAGTTCACCGAGGGAGCTAGTTTCGATGACACCTGAAGCGTCATCGTCTCAGAGTTCGCCGCTCAGTGCAAACCATTATCAATCAAATAAGAGAACCAGTCCAGGAAACGAGGTCAGCAATGCCTCTGGTTCTTCGAGCGGCGAGGCTTCAAGGGTTACAGATGAGGCAACCAGTGCATTGTCGTCGAAAGGATTGGTGATGAATGGGGGCTGCCTTGTGTGGAAGAGCAATTTGAATATATATGGTGCTGGTGTTGGTTCAATGATGGAGGAGGCGGCGGTTCTGCGACGTACAAGCGAGTGGTAACTTCTTTTGAGGAAGAGCCTTCAACAACAGGAGATTGCTTTCAAGCTGATTGGGCACACATTGGATAAAGTCCAGATTGATCTTAAGCTTTTGGAACAAGTGAGGGCCATCGCAAAGGAGCAACTCCAATCAATGTTGGCTTTCCTAAAGGTAAAATTCATGGGTATCGACCCTTTTGGTTTCATGTTTTATTGACGTCTTGATGAAAAAATTATATAGATGAATGAAAAAGCTGGTAAAAATGTTTGGCTTTGTTGGCACATGAGGAAGCGTGACTGGACTGAACAGGGATAGTTACTGAAAGTTATAATCAATACAAAGCTGTCGGTTTACCAAGCTGCAGCCAGGTTACAAATCAAGAGTCTTTCATATGTTGATTTGGATGGGAAGTCATCGAAGAGGTTGTTGCATGGAATTTTGGCATTGTTGATAGAAGCTGCTGAAGCATGTTTATTCTCTGTCTGACGAAAGTTGAGAATTTCTGAAGAGCTCTTCGGCTTATTGCTTGTTGGGATTTCCCAAATTGCTCTCACACGTGGTGGTCAGCTGCTGCGTGTATTGCTCATTCGCTTCAAACCCTTGTGTTAGGTACATGTGCTCCAGTACATTATCTGTTTGCTTCGGGCTATTTCCTGCAGCTTGGGCGTATCTTGGTAACTGCAATATGTTGCACTTTTGGGTAAACTTTCATTGTAATATATATATTTTTCAAACAGGCAGACACTTGGCGTAGCAGCCAGGGTGCCATGTTCAAGAGTGTTTTGAAGACAAGTTGTGAGATAATCGAGTTTGGATGGAGCAAGGACCGGTCTCCTAGGGACACTTTTATAACGGAATTAGCTACAAGTATTTGTGAACGAAATGATTATGAGGAAGAGGTTAGCATTATGTTTGTGTTTGTAGACTTATCGTATGGCAAACATATGACACGAAGCCAAGAAATAATGTGCATATAAACTCACATTTTGTGCATGCACTTGTGTGTATGCATGGATGCAAATGGAAGGATCACACTCATTGCGTGTATCCTTTTACATTTTGCGTTGTTTATCTGTCAAGCAGTGGTCCAGGGGCCTTATATGTGGTAAACCTATGTTATGGGCCTACAATATGGTCTTGAGGTCTTCTGGGTTTTGTGTGTCAGATTTCCTAATCTTAGGGCCTAAAATTTTGTTGGAGAAGGTGAAAAACTTGCCGTCTGTACTTATCAAACATGCAGCCAGTATGTTTCTATGCAGTCTCAGTTAACTACATACCAATTAGGGAATTTTTGGAAGTTTTTGAAGGCTGTAGCTCCCTTGCGATTATGTGATGCAATTGGAACCCTAGGTTTTGATGCCTAAGGCATTGTTGGAGTCATATTGAGATTCTTCTTCTTCTCAGCATTCATCACTTGTATAAACTTCTACTTGACCATTGTAATCTCTCCATCCCAACTGAAAATCCTATTTTGCTAAATTATTGAGGCCTCCATCAAATATTCAGCCCTTCATATTAAAACCTGTGAAAAATAAATTTTAATGAGCATGGCTGCCTATGTTGTGATAGCTGTAGAGCACCACTATTATCTTTTGTTTTTCAGCCGAAAAATCCTACTGTTATAACCTGACCAAACCCTACCGTATGAGCCTTTGTCATACTGCCAAAACCACCCTCAAATTTGACAAGCTTTCTGTAAAATTCATCACACAATCTATTTTAGCACACTCTATTTTACGTGTTATTTATTATTTTGAATCATGGCACTGTAGGAAAAGTTCTCCAGACTGATTTTCTTTTCTCTTGAAACTGGGCAAGGCTTCTTGGATGCCTCTGTTAAAAGGATGGGAATCTGCAAAGGATTTAAATTTGGTATGTCCATGTGACTTAGCCTCAGAACTTTGTGCAGGAGGATCGGATGTCAGAGACTGGAAATGAAGCTGAAATTAGAGAGTCTACCCTGCCTGTCCATACCTGTTTTCTCATAAAAAGTTGTCGCCGAGGGAGGAGCACATACAAGATGTCTCAATGAAATTGTTAACTCAACTCAGAGATAAGTTTCCGCAGGGAAAAGTTTATTATAGTCGCGTTCTACCTCATCTTTCGATCTTGTTCTGTTTACATATTCTTCTACATTCAATTTTGTTTCCTGTTCCTTGATATTGAAGTGCACTTTAATGAATGTTTTTCAGATCTTGTGGAATTCCTCTTGTCTGGACTCCCTGTTATTTTCAGTGCATTATGATCCTCCTTCTGCTTTCATCAATGATCCTGCTTGGGTTGCTACAGTTTGGTCTTTGTACGAAAGAATTGTTCGGGAATGGATCATTATTTCCCTTTCATATGCACCATGCACTAGTCAAGGTCTTCTCCAGGTTTGTTTTCTCTTATAATTGGAAGTCATCACGAGGCCTTTTGATTGTTTTGAAGATTAGCATTTTATGCCTGTGATTGTTGGGTAATTTATCTGTCATTTCTCATTCTGAGATCTATGCTTCTTGTTTGACTTGAAAAATGTAACATTTGTGTTTATTTTCTTTTTCCGACAGTGATTTAATTGTTGGACGATGATTAACATTTATTTCTCATGGTTTGTCTAGAAGGATTAATTTCCTGATATAAAAATTTAGATATATGGTTTTTGAAACTTTATAGAATTAATTTTCACATGCTTCTCTACAACTCTTAATCTGCTCGTGTTGTAATATGTTGGTGATTTTTATTAGGAGCCCTTTAATTCTTGAATGATGTCGCCTGGGCCTCGTAAGGTCATGTTTAGTGCCTCTTATATAACTTACATAAAACCTTTTGCCGTCAATGGTCTTCACAGATTAATCCCTCCGATTCAATTGCTAATTTCTCTCTTTCACTTCGATATTCCATTCATGCACTGATAGACTTGCATCTCTGGATTTCTTGTCCGGTATTTCATACTACAGGAGAAGCTTTGCAAAGCAAACAATCGGCAAAGAGTGCCACCCACAACTGATGCTGTGAAACGAGGAATTATCCAAGACAAAACAAAGGATTTCTACTAATCTATTTGGAGAAGTCTCATCTTGATGAGAGAGAGATCTCCAAGTGCTCAGGTCTTGATCTTGTGTTTTTTTTTGCGATGGAATGACTATTGCGTTGTTTTGATCTTTTTCCGGAATACTAACTTTTGAATTGATATAATAGTGTTCTGCTTAGGTAATGATCCCAAAGGTTGAACCTAATTTAACTTGGTCCTCTTTAGCTGAAAGTGGTTTTTTATGAGTCTCTTTTGTCTACATGTTTGTGCTTTAGTTTTTCTGCTAGTTATCATTCAAGGCATACAAATACTCTACTGCCAATTACTTGCATATGGTATTTAATTTCTTAAATTTTTGTGTCATTTTATTGAGATGACTTAGTGTGTAATATTTTCTATTAAGTGTAGTACCTTGAGACGGGAGAGAAAAGATCAACCTATTAAAATTTGGGAGGCTCATAAAGTAGCAATCCAAACAGTTACAGTTTTACCTTCAGGTTAGCTTGTGACAAGTGGGGAATTTTGTTGGACTATTGTATGTTATTGATTTTAAGGTATGATTCTGTTAACGTTTCTTTTCTTCTTTTCTCCTTTTTGTCTCGAACCTTAAAGTTTTTACTTATCGTCCATGATCTCTCCATCGTTTGCTTAAGATTTCTTGTAGTTATCAAATCAGAAAAAAATTGATATGAAAGTTGAAGATCCTACACGTGTTACTTTGGATATGATGAATGATTGCGATTTTTTTCAATGGTAATCTTGGTTCAAGTGACGCAATTGTATACATAATTTGAAAGTAAATATGTTTGCTTCTTGCATGCCTACATAACTATTGCTTTTGGATATCTTTGAGTAGGTGTTCTAGTTTTTATTTATAAATATTAATGATATGATTTTTTAATAATTGTGGTAATGGTTGAAAGTTTTCTCTGATAGTAAAAAACTTGATTTAATTGTTGTACTTTAGATGATCTTTAAATATAGAAGTTATGAAAAAAAGACATACATATATTGATACACCCAACCTCGCATGCAATATTTACACACATTGTTAACACACAAACTGACACGTCTTAGTATACATTACGCAGACTTGCACATACCAGTATCCCAAAACACACACTCATCAAATCATAGGTGCTTTGTGTATTTCTGATGAATCCTAGTGGACCTAAATGTGCAATATGTGGGTTTGCGCCTTCCTTGTGAATTGTGACTTTGATTAGTGATCTATCTTGTAAAATTTAATAAACCCTAATTTTGAACAATAATTAGTTTATGTGTTTGTTTTCTATATTAGTGTTTTCGTGTTTCATTGGTGCTTTAGTTTATGGTTGTGTTTTTTTAGTGTATTAGTGTGTGTCCGAATAGAGTGTGTTCATATGTGTGTGTTTTAGTATGTGTTTTTTTGGTGTATTAGTGTGTTGTATGTGTTAGTGCGTGCATGCGTGTGTGTTTGTATAATTATGCGTTTGTGTTTTTATAATTGTGGGTGTGTTTTATTGTGTTGGTTTTGTTGGTGTACTAGTGTGTTTTTTGGCATATTAGTGAGTGTTAGCATAGTGTGTGTCAGTGTTTATGTATATGGTGTATTAGTGTGTGTGTTGTGGTGTATTAGTGTGTATTTTTTTGGTGTATTAGTGTGCGTGCATTTCTTTGGTATATTAGTGAGTGTATTGTTAGTGTATGTGTTTGTGAGTGTCAACATAGTGTGTGTTAGTGTTTATGTATATGGTGTATTAGTGTGTTTTGTTTCGGTGTAATATTTATATTTTTTTCGGTGTTTTAGTGTGTATATTTCTTTTGTGTATTAGTGTGTATGTTTCTTTTGTGTATTAGTGTATGTATTGTTAGTGTATGTGTTTTGGTGTATTAGTGTGTGCATGCATTGGTATTTTGGTAATAGGGTTTTAGTTTTGGTATGTTGGTGTTTGTGGTTTTGGTGTATTAGTGTGTGTTTTTTGGTGGTGTATTTAGGTGTGTATATGTGTGTTTAGGTGTATTAATGTGTGAGAATTTTTTTGGTGCATTAATGTGTGTGTGTTTCGGATGGTGTATTAATGTGTGTGGGTTTTGCGATGGTGTATTAGAGAGAGAGAGTGTGCATGTGTTTGTGTAATAGTGTGTTTGCATCAGTGCGTCTGTCGGATCATCTCTTTATTTTGGCATTTGTGGTGATTTTTTTTGAGGACATTTGAATAACATTTTCTATTTTACATTGCCTTATGGAGAAATAGAATTTCATTTTTTGATAGTAGTTTCGGTGTGACAATCCACACACGAGGGGCGCGACTAAACCCTAAAAGGCTGGCTCTGAGAGATTGTTTTTGATATGATTTTGATGAATTTCTTCCAAATGACAGGCATTTTGCATGATGTAAGTTATTTTGGCTTCTCTATGTGCCAAGAGCAAACTAAATTATTTAATTGAGAGTCCTTCTCATGACCCCAAAAATTCTGAAGATTGATGGAGCGAGAAGTGATTGGTTTGACTTGGTTGTTGTTTAATAAGGAACCTTATGTTGTCTCCAACTTCAACACCCTGTACTATACCATAGCAGGACATCTTTTGCTAATCCTAATGTCGTTCCGGTAATTGTTAACCATTTTTTTACCTTGCATTTGTCCTCATATTCCATAGTTTTGAAACCTTTTCTCTTGTATATTAGTTTGGAACTCAATGGCGGGAACAACATGTTTTCATAAAAGAAACCTACACATCACAAATAAAACAGAATGTACAGCAAAAAGGATGAACATGTGATATACATACCTTTCCAATATCCAAGCACATGAATCTTCTTTTCATAGATATCATCCTTATATGGACAGGGTTGAGAACCCCATAGTCTCAACGAGAGATACCAGGAAAAATGGGCTTGGATTCTTCAAGAGATTGCAATGGAACTTCAGCAAATGTAGCATTTGTAGGTTTTAGTTTCAAGAAAGTGGTGTGATAGCTAGGGAGTTTAGAAATGATGGTACTACACGAAGATGATCTAAGCTCTAAATGACCAATTTCTTCCCATATGTAGTAGCATAATATGATTGTCATTACTTGACGTTGTTAGTACTAGTTTGGTTCATTATACTACCTTTTTTTTGGATTGGGAGGAGGCGGGTGGATGGGTTTGGAGTAGAGGGGTTTGAAACTACCGAATTCCTTTCTAACCTAACCTTGATTGTGAAATGACCTCTATACAATGGAAGCGAAGCTCATCTGGTGAAAGTAATGATAAAGCTCACCAAAATGTATGTGCTTATTTGTCGAGGTATTTTATTACTCACCAAAATGTATGTGCTGATGTGTGTATGAATATGTATATATATATATCCTTGCAGGTGTGATTTAAACCCTGGAAAGAACTTGCAATCGTATTAGAGATCTCATTGGCAATTGCCAAAGCTAAGTATGGAAGTCAAACCTTACTCTCTTATAATGCTGTGAGTCTGTGTCTGTTAAGTGATTTAATAAACCCCAAATTACCTCCACCTATTCCAAAATTGATTGAGCATACTTTCCTATGCAGCAGATTTCTGAAATAAAGAAGAGATGTGCTTGGAGATGGTAATGCACCTACTTCCTGATTTTTGATTCCTTTATAGGACTTGCTTGGATTCTTGACTTCAAGTACATGCAACAGGACAATGCTAAGAAGTTTGAACAACCATAGTTCTCATTGCTGCTCCACTAATCATCAAGGTCCCGGACCTGGGAGATCCTCTGGAAATGTGTTCCTGGTCCAAGGTGGAGAGGGGGATTTGCTCGGAGTAGTACCAATGATACTATTGTTTCATACCATTACAGAAGAAGATCAGGTTAAAGTATGCACTTCATCGGGAATAAAAAAAGTTGAGCTACTTTCATTTGGTATTTTTGCTTAATTCCAGTGGCTTTAGCTCCTATGGATGGACAGGAAGAGGTTGTAGCTGGATAAGTGATTCAGGTACATTGATAGTGGATGTTTTGGTCAGATGGACTTTGACTGCATATTGCTGTTATTTTGATTTGACCATGTGTTATGGGATCAGAAACTGGTGTACCCGACATTAAGATCCTGATACATATGTCAACAAATGCACTGAACATTTTGCCAGAAAGGCGTGACATTACTACTTAACAAGGACATATTATCCGTTGGTATTTTGAAAGCATTTATTCTGCTATTAAAAGAATAATGCTAATTATTTTTGCTCTCAAACAAAATTAATACTTTTACAATGATATGTGATATGTGACAGGTGAAGAATTGTGCATAGTCTTTAGCAAGTTCATTGGTTTTGTCATTTGTGACAAAAGCAAAACAAAAGCAGGTGAACCTAAAAGTTCTTATGTTTGTATACCTTTTTGTTCTCTGCGGCATTTCTTAGTTTATCCTGTTGTGGGCATTTTGTATATAATATAAAACCTCTTTTGGCACATCTTGCTATAAAAAATTTAGCAGTGTTGAAGTATTTTGACAGATATTTTTTTATCTGTCTATTTTTATTTTTTAACTGTCTTTCTTTTTTTATTTTTTAAGTTCTTCATAGGTTAACATAGAGTTTAACTTCTCAATTTTCTCTACTTGTTTTTTCATGTAGCTAAATCTTGCTCTTTTTTTTGTCATTATCTTTTATAGTGTTGATCTTGTCTTTTAGCCGGCACTTGTTGCTTTGACAGGATGAACGTGAACTGCAAAAATTAAGGAAGAGACCCTCCAATTGAGAATCAGCTAGGAGGTCAAGAATTCACAGAAAGGTTTGAAAATATTTTCAGCAATTTGGCATGTGATAGTTTTTGTTAGCCTAACAACTAGAACTAAAAATTAATACAAATGCTAATAAGTGCAACCTGGCCACCAGCTAGAATGGTCTTTGCAGGAAGCAATAAGGAAAAGGGGGGGGGGGGGGTTGGAGAAGAAGAGAGATAAGGGTCGGCCTTCCCTCCTCCCCATTGGCTCCCCCCTTCCCAATTTGTCTTGTTGACCCACTTTCCGTTGGCATCCCCCTGTATGCTGGCTTCTACACCCCTTCTCCACCCACTGGTTCTCCTTCGTCATTGATATTGGCTTCCCCACGTCCCCCTCTCCCATCATGATCCCCCTCTAGTCGGAGTTGATGCCCCCGTACCCGGCCTCTACACTTTTTTATCACTGTTTCCCATGTTTTCTTGGTCTTCTCGCACTTTTGTCCTTTCCTCTTTTTAATAAACACCTGTTAGCATTACAAATAAATCAGTGATCGTTCAAATTCTTTCAATCATGGCTTTCTAAACCATCAACATACCTTGCTTTGTTTGAAGAAGGTTTATTGGCATATAAATAATTTTCATGATTTTTTTATCAATTTCCTTTCTTGCTTGTTATGTTCAGTAGCTTGTTTATAAAGTTTTTTTGATGGGATTGGTGGGATTCGTGTAATTAAAACTGAATGTTGTTTGATGAGATTGTATTATTAAAAAATGTAGCATTTTAATTTCTTGTTTATCCTTCCGCCAGGAAAATTATGATCGCTTACAAACTGAGGTGGAGAAGTTTCACAATGGAACTTCCATGCTCAGCTATGACCTGAAGGGGCATATCAAGTATTCCTGAAAGCTTAAGAGAGAATTCCTAATTGGAGACCTACTCCTCTTTCAGCTGTCTATTTTCCGCTTGCTAACTGAAGTATCACATCATATCTAGTTACACTATGCTCATTAAAACGCGATAAGCATGTCCCCCTCTTCCAAACAGCCCAAGAGAAAAACCCAAAAACTCAAAAAAAAAAAAAAAAAAAAATGAAAGGAAAAACGATGAGTAATAAAAATGAGAAATATCTAAAGTAGTAAACATATTACTAATATTATTCTTGGTGCTCATGTTCTTTTAGTTTGGACTATGAGTACTATGATAGTGTCATTTCCATTTTTGCTGCTCTTTTCCTTTTGCTAAACTGGTAGTCATATGTCTTCGACCTACCGGCTTGAGGGATCTGTCAATCGTTAATCTTTCACTTAGATGATAACAACTGCGCACATTCTTATATACCACACCCTTGAATTAATACTATTTTATTGGCCCATAATATTTTATTTCATTAGTACTAGTTTGGTTCATCTGATCTATTTTTTTGGGTTGGGAGGAGGTGGGTGGATGGATTCAGAGTAGAAGGGTCTCAAGCTGTCGAATTCCACTGTTAGCTACTTTGATTGTGAAATGACCTTCATACAGTATAAGTGACCTTATCAGGTGAAAGTGATGCGAAGCTCACCAAAATATATGTGCTTATTTATCTAGGAATTTTTCATTACTCACCAAAATACATGTGCTTGTGTCTCTGAATGCATATATCCTAGCGATCTGATGGGCAATTGCCAAAGCTACGTATGTGGGAGTCGGACCTTATTTTCTGAAAATGTTGCGACTGTTCATTGCTTCACTAAAACCCATATTATGATGACCTATTCTAAATTGGTTGTGTATATTTTCCTCAACTATTTAGTCTAGGGTTTTACCCCTATGCAACAAATTTCTGAAATGAAGGTCTTTCAGAAATACTTGGAGATGGTAATGTTCATACTTCCCTAGTTCTGAGTCTTTTGATTTCCTTTGTAGTACTTGCTGGGATTCTTGACTTCAAGTACTTGCAACAGGGCACAATGCTATGAAGTCTGAACAACAATGGTTTTCACTGCTGCTCCACGAATCATCAAGTTCTACACTGGGAGATGTTCTGATATCTATTCCTGTGTCCAAAGTAGATATGGGGATTAGGTCCAATTCATATAATACTGGATTAAAATCTGTGGTAATGAGACTTAATACATCTGGTGTCTCACAGCCAGTGGCTTCAGTTCCTACAGTTGTACAGGAAGAGCTTGTATCTAGACAACCAATTCAGGTTCATTAACTGTGAATGTTGTTATTGGTTTGACTTTAATGGGATATTGTTGTTGTTTTGATTTGACCATATATTCTAGGATCAGGAGCTGATATACCCAACTGTCGATCCAGATACATATGTCAACTGACACACCAACTGTTTTCCAAAATGATTTGTTATTACTATTTAGCAAGGGTATATATTTCGTTGGTATTTCAGAAGTATTTATTCTGCTATTAGAGAAAAATGTTAAATATTTTTGCGCTCTAGCAAAATTAATACTGGTAAAATGATATGTGAAAGGTGAAGAAGTTGTATTGTAGTCTCTAGCAATTTCATTTATTTTGTCCTCTTTTCGTAGTTCATCCTGTTCTGGGCTTGTATATAAACTCTTTGGCACATATTTCTTTGAAAAATTTATCAGCGTTGAAGTATTTTGATAGATATTTCGTATCACTGGCTATTTTTTATTTTTTTAACAAGTTCAAAATTTTCTGTTCACAGTTAACCTAGAGTTTAACTCCTCAATCTTTTTGTAGCTAAATCTTGCTCTTTTTTTTTTTGTCATTATCTTTTATAGTGTTGATCTTTTCTTTTTTTGGCTGGCATGTGTTGCTTTGAAAGGATGAACGTGAACTGCAAAAATAAAGGAAGAGACCCTCTTATCGAGAATCAGCTAGGAGGCCAAGAATTCACAGAAAGGTTCGAAAATATTTTCAGCAATTTGGGGGGTGATACTTTTTGATGACGTAAAAACTAGAACTAGAAATTAAGGCAAATGCTAATAAGTGCAACCTGGCTGGCGGAGGAAACAATAAAAGGGGAGAAGGAGAAACGAGATAGTGGCCTGGCCGACACCGGGAGAAGAAGGGAGAGAAGGGTAAATCGTCACTCAGACAATCATAACTGCACACATGCTTACCCATAATATTTTATTTCAATAAAATTACTAATATTAAATACGATGGCTGTGATTTTGATGTTGTTGGAATGGAGTCAAACATATCAGTATTGTCGTGGAGGTGGTTCACTCTAAACTGCGAAATTTCTGCAAGTTTCAGAGTCGAATTATCTTTGATGATGAGAAGCAGATCGCTTCGTAAAGCTTCCTTTCATTAGGTTCCAGCAATCAATGCATTATTGCCACTTCAGAGTAAATAAATAATCTCTCAAGCTCGTATCAAAGCTGCCTTTAATAATACTTCATGGGGGCATGAGAATGCTTGTATCAAGGCTGAAGAACAGGACGTGCACATGTCTCTATGAATCTTTCACATATGATGATCGAGTTTGCAGCTAATTATGGGCTAAAAAAATAGGAGCATTCACACATCCCTAGGAAAATGTTGTATCCTACAATCTGTCCTGTATAATATCTCCATAATTTTCTGTTTGTAAATTAAAGGTCACTTAAAAGTATATGAAAATCATGTCTTCTATCTGCTCGACGATATGGGTTAGAGACACAATAATTCCATTGTTTCAAAGACTTTCCTTTCCACTGCACCTCAACAATAGAGGCGAACCAGTGTGTTGGGATTCATCTGTCCTCCTTTGGCATGGTGACAGTTTCAAATATTAAAATATTTCAATGTTTGTCTGGTATTTTTCATTCCACTTTGACTCCACTATGTTGCAGGCACCCTCTTTCTCGCAGTCCCTGTCTTTTCACCTTTTGCACAATGTTTCCCCATTAAACTTAAGGTACGAATTTCTGTTGTTTTTTGAGCACTTGCATAAATAATTTCTCTTGTTTATTAATCTAATTGTTGTTCACTACATCAAGATTGGGCCTTTATCATTGAGCGACTTAACAACTAGCTTATTGTGGTTGCCCGTTTATGAGTACATGATTTCTGATACACTTCCCTCCATAATTGGTCATTTAATATGCATATAAATGGTCCAAACATTGAGTGAAAATTGAGGAAAAGTGTAATACAGGGATCTGGAGGCATGTGTAGACCATTGGCTAGTAGTGTATATATATGTATGTAAGTTATAGTCTGTGATACAAATGTAATTCTGGGTTGGAACAAAAAATTGATTTTTTTTTTTTGTTGTATGCATTTTAATGTTTATAATATAATGGGTATACCGCTTTAAGCTTGCCATGAAGTTTTCTTTGTTTGATGGCTAAAGATGAGTTTAGTCCTTCACACCTTAACATGCCACGCCTGCACAACTTGCACTGAAGTTGAAATTAGTAAATTCAAAGATCTAAGCATTTTTCTTTTATGCAAATACTTGGAAGTAATTATGTTTTACAAAAAACAACTCTCTGTCTCTCTCGTGTGCGCATAGAGGCAGAAACTAACTACAAAAACCTCGCAATAGTCATACAATCTATGTTACAAAACATTTATGTTCATTTATGAATGAACTGCTCCCACAAGCATAAAAAATCTAAAGTTGTAATCACCTTCACATGGTAGCAAAAAATTAAAATTTTTAGAATTTGGCATGCATATCTTCTATTATGACCTTATACTGTAAGGTGATTTTGGCCCTTATAATTCTAATATTTCATGCAGTGGAATTATCCAAGATAAATCAAAGGATTTCTACTAATCCATTTGGAGAAATCTCATCTTGGTGAAAGAGAGGACTTCGAGTGCCCAGGTTTAGATTTTGTGTTTGGTTTTGCGATAGATTGACTATTACATTGTTTTGATCTTTTTTTGGAATGCCAACCTTTGAATTAATATAATAGTGGTCTATGTAGGTAATGGTCCCGAGGGCTAAACCTAATTTAACTTAGTACTCTTTAAGTATTAGTCTCTTTTGTCTACATGTTTGTGCTTTCGTTTTTCTACTAGTCATCATTCAAGACATTTAACTTCTCTGCTGCCAATTATTTGCTTACGATATTTAATTTCTTGAATTTTTCTACCATTTTACTACTATGACTCGGTGTGTAATATTTCCTATTGAGTGGAGTACCTTGAGACAGTGGAGGAAGACCAACCTATTGAAATTTGGGAGGTTCATAAATTAACAATGTGAGCTTATGATAGGTGTAGAATTTTGCTTGAGTATTGTATGCTATTTATTTTATGGTATGATTTTGTTAGCGTTTTCTTTTCTTCTCTTATCATTTTTGTCTTGAACCTTAAAGTTCTTAATTTTCTTCCTTGATCTCCATCATTTACTTAAGATTTCTTGTAGTTATCAAACCGAAAGAAACTAATGTGAAAGTTGAAGATCCTACACGATGTTGCTTTGGATACGATGAATGATGGTGATTTTGGTTGATGGTAATCCAGGTTCAAGTGACACATCTGTATACATACTTTTGAAGGGCAAACAGGTTGGCTTATTGCATGCCTACATGACCATTGCTTTTGGATATCTTTGAGTAGATGTTCTAGTTTTATTTATAAATTTTAGTGATATGTTTTTTTAATAATTGTGATAGTGGTTGAAAGTTTTCGCTGCTAGTAAAAATCTTGATCTAATTGTCGTACTCTAGATTATCTTTAAATATAGAAGTTATGAAAAAAGAACATACATACACTAATAGACCAAACCATGCATGCAATATTTACACAAGACACTAACACATCATAATATACACACACATACTAATATCCCAAAACACGCAATGTTATTGCATACACTCATCAAAAGGTAGGTGCTTTGCGCATTTTTGACAAATCCTAGTGGACCTAAATATGAAGTATGTGGGTGTTGTGCCTTCCTTGTGAAGTGAGACTTTGATTAGTGATATATCCTGTAAAATTAATAATTCCTAATTTTGAACAATGATTAGGTTGTGTGTGTTTTCTGTATTAGTGTGTCTGTGTTTCTTTGGTGCTTTAGTGAAATGGTGTGTTATTAGTTTATGTGTGTGTTTTATGGATTAGTGTCTGTGTTTGTTTGGTGCTTTAGTGTATGGGTGTTTTTAGTTTTTTGTGTGTGTTTTTTGTATTAGTGTGTCTGTATTTCTTTGGTGCTTTAGTGTGAGTGTTTTTTTTAATGTGTTAGTGTGTCCGAATAGGGTGTGTATATGTGTGTGTTTTAGTATGTGTTTTTTGGTGTATTAGTGTGTATTAGTACGTGCATGCATTTGTGTTTGTATGATTGTACATGTATTTTATTGTGTTTATTTTGTTGGTGGATTACTTGTGTTTTTTTGGCGTATTGGTGAATGTGTGTCAGTGTTTATGTATATAGTGTATTAGTGTGTTTGTGTTTTGGTGTATTAGTGTATATTTTTTTGGTGTATTAGTGTGCATGTATTTCTTTAGTGTATTAGTTTGTGTATATTTTTTTGATGTATTAGTAGTGCATATTGTTAGTGTATGTGGTTTGGTATATTAATGTGTGCATGTATTTGTGTTTGGGTAATAGTATTTTTTTTGGTATGTTAGTGTTTGTGGTTTTGGTGGATTAGTGTGTGATTTTTTTTTGGTGGTGTATTAGGGTGAATGTATATGCGTGTTTAGGTGTATTAATGTGTGGAATTTTTTTTGGTGTATTAATGTGTATGGTTTATTAATGTGTGTTTTGCGATGGTGTATTAGAGAGAGTGTGTGTATATGTTTGTGCCATATTTTGTTTGCATTAGTGTGCCTGTCAGATAATCTCTTCATGTTGGCGTTTTTGGTATTTTTGTTCAATTTTTTTGAGGCTGAGGCCATTTAAATAATATTTTCTATTTTAGAATGTTTTATGGAGAAATAGAATTTCATTTTTTGATCTGTTTGTGTGGCGCAATTGGATGAGTTTTGATGTTACAATCCACACATAAGGGGTGCAACTAAGCCCTAAAAGGCTAGCTCTGAGAGACCTAGTTGTTTTTGGTGTAATTTCTTCCAAATGACATTTGTTTTGCATGACGTAGTGGTTTGTGGGCTTCTTTATGGTGACTTCAGATGGTTTTAAAAATCTGTTGATGATTCTGTTAGACAATTTACCTTTGTGAAACTGAGTGCTAGTAATTGTCATTCATGGTCTCATGCAATTATGATTTTTAAGTGTGCCAAGAACAGACTCAATTATTTAATTGAGAGTCTTCCTTTTGATGACTCCAAAAATTCTAAAAATTGATGGAGCGAGAATTGATTGGTTTGACTTGGTTGTTGTTTAATAAGGAACCTTATGTTGTCTCCTTGGATGCAGCCATAACCGACCAATTTGAATACCCTGTTCTATATCATAACAGGGCATCTTTTGCTCACCATAATGTCGCTGCGGTAATTTCTAACCATTTTTTTACCTTGCATATGTCCTCGTATTCCTTAATTTTGGAAGCTTTAATCTTGTATATTAGCTTGAAGCTCGATGGTGGGAACATCATGTTTTTATAAAAGAAAGCTACATATCACCAATAAATTGTACAGCTAAAAGGATGAACTTGTGATATACATACGTTTCTTGTATCTAAGCACATAAGTCTTTTTTTCATAGATGTCATCCTTATATGGACCGGGTTGAGAACCCCATAATCTCAAAGGAGAGATACCAGGAAAAATGGACTAGGATTCTTCAGGAGATTGCAATGGAACTTTAGAAAATGTGGCATTTGTAGGTTGTAGTTTCAAGAAAGTGGTGTGATAGCTTGGGATTTTTGAAATGATGGTACGACACGAAGATGATCTAAGCTCTAAATGACCAATTTCTTCCCATATGTAGCATAATATGGTTGTCAATGTTGTCATTATCATTACTTGAAATTGTTAGTACTAGTTTGGTTCATTATACTGCCTTTTTTTTGTGTGTTGGGAGGAGGCAGGTGGATGGGTTTGGGGTAGAGGGTTTGAAAATACCAAATTCCTTTCTTACCTTGCCTCGATTATGAAATGACCTCTATACAATGGAAGCAAGGCTCATCGGGTGAAAGTAATGATAAGGCTCTCTCCAAAATGGATGTGCTTATTTGTCTAGGAATTTTTATTACTCACCAAAATGTGTGTGCTGACGTGTGTACGGATGTGTACGAACGTATATATCCTTGCAGGTGTGATTTAAACCCCGTAAAGAACCTTACAATCGGATTAGAGATCTCATTGACAATTGCCAAAGCCAAGTATGGAAGTCAAACCTTATTCTCTTATAATGCTGTGACTGTTCATTGATTTAATAAACCCCGTCTTACAACCACCTATTCCAAAATTGATTGACCATACTTTCCTCATCTATTTAGCCCAGTCTGCCCAGAGCTGTTTTTTCCTATTTAGCAGACTTCTGAAATAAAGAAAGAGATGTGCTTGGAGATGGTAATGCACTTACTTCCTGATTTTTGACCTCCTTTATAGAACTTGCTTGGATTCTTGACTTCAGGTACATGCAGCAGGACAATGCTATGAAGCTTCAACAACAATAGTTCTCATTGCTGCTCCACTAATCATCAAAGTCCCAGACCTGGGAGATCCTCTGGTATCTGTTCCTGGTTCAAGGTGGAGAGGGGGGTTAGCTCCTAGTTGTACCAATGATACTATTGTTCCATACCATTACGGAATAAGATTCGTGTAATAAATGCACTTCCTTGGGAATAAAAAAATCGATCTACTGGGGACTTTTTGGTAGTTTTGTTACTTTGGATGGATTGTGTGTTGCTTCTTGTGGTTTGACATTTTGATTGTTATTTGGGTAATCCAGCTTTACTTTTAACCTTTGCAGGTGGGCGAGGCAGTTCACCAACCGTAATGGCAACTAAGTTTGATAATTATCAAAGGTGTTAAGTATTTATTTGAGGTATGTTTGATATTTTTTTAATTTATGAGTTGGAAAAGATTGTTCTTGTTATTTTTATTACTTGCTATTGCATAGTCTTTATTTTTGTTGGAGTGTTTATTTGATGCAAGTCTTTTGTTAATTACTTGGTATTAGGTAGTTTCATTTTGTCCAGTGAAGTGGGTTTGGAGTTTATGTTTTGATTAATGGCAGCCGGACTAGAGCGGGGGTTCACCTTATTGGCTTTGTCCTCTGTTAATTGGCCTTTTTTATTTTTCAGTTGACATTTGATTACTTAAAGGCCATCTTTTCTATTTGTTGTCAGTGTATTAATTGCCCTTTTTGGTACTATTTTGTTTCCGGTATCAAGAGACATTGTATTTGGGCAGTGATGTATTTGCGAAAGAGATTATTTCTACATGTTGATATGGTCCATCCATTGAAACTGTGGGGGTTAAAACCTTCAGGTATATTGAATTGTACGATTCAAGTTGCTGGAGGTATTAATTTGGTCTTGACTTTATTGATTTGATTTTCATTATTATATATCTTATTTTATGGTATATTCCAAAATTGTTTTTGTCTTTAGTGAATTTTAGTTTTTTTTTTATCATAGAATTTTAGTTTGTTCATCCATGGTATCCAATAAAGTAGGTTTGTTTTTCCAACTTATCTCATATTATTAACGACTTCGATCATTTGAGAATATTTGATCCAACGCACCAAATTTATCCCAAAAAATTTAATACCGCCTGAAAATTTTAATTTTTGAACGCCCTTTGAATCAGCCCTATTCTCAGGCTTTTGACCCATCTCTCATGCGTTGTCTCTAGCTCAGAGACCTTTCTTGCCTAAATCTCTCACTCATGTGTTCTCTCTTCTCCTACTCAACCCTCCCCATCCCTTATGGTTCAAAAAACTCTCTTCATGCTCTCTTTCTCTATCTCTCCTTCTCCCCTCTCTCTGCCCTTCTTTTCTCTCTTTGTCCAGCTATTAGTCCACCACAGTAGGTACCTCTGTCCATTCTCTTTGTTTCTCTCTCATTCTCGCTCCCTTTAGTTGACACCCATCCCTATTTCTCTTCTATCCAACTCTCCAAACATCGCTGGCTCCACCACAACCCTAACTTTTGCCTCCTTTGCCCTCAAGACTTACCTCACTCCCAGCGTAAACCTACCCGCCACACCCATCCAGGTATCTCTCGACTCTCTTCGCCCTCTATACCCCACTCTCTCTCTCTCTTGTTCTCTGCCACCCGTCCAGGTATCTCTCCACTCTCTTCTCCCTCTACACCCCACTTTGTCTCTCTTGCTCTCCGCCACTATGTGTTTGTTTTCGCAAGATCATCTGTTTGTTTAATTGCCCTAATGATTAAAAATGTTTAATTGTTTTGTTTTTTTATGTTCAATTGAGACACCTGATGTCATCAAGGAGAAAATCGAAGTCATAGATAGTCGAAGCCGATGGTTTCTATGAGAGTATTTAGAGGCTTTACCAAAGTGGGGTTGATTTCGAGAATCTTCATAGGACCAGATGACGACATATGATGAGATACCTAAGCAGGGGTGGAGCCAGAAAAAAATTTTAGAGTGGGCATACTAGCATAATGTTTTAATTTTTTTAATAAACCGTAAAAATTTATAAATTTATATTTATTAAAATTATATTTAATACTTTTTAAACATAAAAAATTAAAAATCGATATACATAACATGAAAAAAAAAATAATTAAAACTTCTTATCGATAATGCAACTAATTATTATTACTTATAATTGATCCTAGTATGTTTTTATTATTTGAAAGAGTTACAAATTAATTTTATCAACAATATTTCTTTTATATATAAAACCGCAGTAACAATCTTCCATTTACGATCCTATAGTTTACTACATAACGACTCACTTTTTTATACAATAACAAAATAACCTTACAATTTAAAAAAATTATAAAATAATATCAATATATTCAAAACATATTCGGACATGTCTAAAACATGTCTAAAAGTTTAACAATTATATTAGTTGTACATAATTTGAGATTTAATTAATGGAGACCAATTGGTTTGTGGCCATTGGATAGATAGTAGAGTTTATTAAATATTAAGACTCATTATTATGCTTAATATCGCAATGTATTAGGTCCTTAAATTAGGTTTCAATAATATTGTTCAAAAAATTAACAACCATTTAGGTAGGGGTCTATTCAAATCAATATCACCATAACACAATATTAGGGTGGACACAATTAAATATATCTAAATTTTATTTCAAAAAATACATGATTAATATGAAGCAAAAAAAAAAATTGAGGGGGGGGGGGGCATGTGCCCACCCTAGGTGAAGGGTGGCTCCGCCCCGATACATAAGCAATATACACATTCATGGATATACTAATTGGGTAATTCATTTAATGTTTCGATTGTATTTACTTATAATATTCACTTTCATACACCTAGATTTACTTATTATTTCTTTTTCAAGCCTTTGGAATCACTATGGAACTTTATATATACTTGTTTAATGTAAGTTTGATATTTTATCGATTTATGAGTTAGAAAAGATTTTTTTTGATGATATCTTTGTTTTTTGTTATCAATTAGTCTTTGTTTTTGTTGGAATCTTTTGTTAATTGCTTAATAGGCTTGGGATGCTTAGTTCTATGTGCTAATAATGAAATTAGAAAACAAATTTTATTGTCGACTAGGTACTTTTTGGTAGTTTTGTTACTTTAGATGGATTGTGTGTTGTTTGTGGTGGTTTAATTTTTTGATTGTTGTTTGGATAATCAAGTTTTACTTTTAACCTTCTCAAAGGTTTTAAGTATTTATTTGAGGTATGTTTGATATTTTTTCAATTTATGAGTCAAAAAAGTTTTTTTTTTTGGTATTTTTGTTTCTTCTTGTTGAATAGTCTTTATTTTTGTTGTAGTGTTTTGTCGATTTTTAAGGTGACTTGGGGTGCTTATTTGATGTATTTCTTTTGTCAATTACTTGGTATTAGGTAGTTTCATTGTGTCAAGTGAAGTGGTTTTGGAGTTTTTGTTTTTTTTTAATGGCAGTCGGACTAGAGTTGGGGTTTACCTTATTGGCTTTGTCGTCTATTGATTGGCCGTATTTTATTTTTCGGTTAACATTTACTTAAAGGCCATCTTTTCTATTTGTTTTTAGTGTGTTAATTGCCCTTTTTTTGTATTGTTTTGTTTCCAGTATCAAGAAATATTGTATTTGGCAGTGATTTATTTGCGAAGGGGATTATTTCTTCATGTTGATGTGGTCCATTCATCGAAGTTGTGGGGTGCAAATTTTCAGATATATTGATATTTACGATTCAAGTTGCTTGAAGTAGTAATTTGGTCTTGACTTTATTGATTTGATTTTCATTATTGTATATCTTATTTTATTGTTTATTCAAAAACTGTTTTAGTCTTTAGTGAATTTTAGTTTGTTCATCCATGGTATCCAATAATAAAGTAGATTTGTTTTTGGATCTTAGTGACAAACGACTCAAATAATTTTAGGATAAAACAAAGTCTCATCCTATAGACGCAGTAATTCAAACTTATCTCACAAACTATTAACAACTTCGATCATCTGAGTATATTTGATCTGACGTACCAAATTAATCCTTGAAAAATTTAATATCGCCTAAAAATTTCACTTTTTGAACGCCTGTCTAATCAACCTTCCCGTCTAATCAACCTTGTTCTTAGGCTTTTGACATCTCTCATGTGTTGTCTTTATCTCTGACATCTCCCTCGCCTAATTCTCACTCTATTGCACTTCCACTCTCTGTGTTGTCTCTTGTCCCACCCAATATTCACTTCCATAGACCTAAATTTACTTATGTATTATTTCTTTTCCCGTATTATTTCGCAAACATAAAAAATCTGTAGTTTTAATCACCTTTGCATGGTAGCAAAAAATAAAATTTTTCAAAATTTGGCATGCATATCTTCTATTATGATCTTATACTGTAAGGTGATTCTAGCCTTATAATTCTAATATTTAATGCAGTGGAACGTGGAATTATCCAAGATAAATCAAAGGACTTCTACTAATCCATTTGGAGAAGTCTCATCTTGATGAAAGAGAGGATTCCAAGTGACCAAGTTTTGATTTTGTGTTTTGTTTTGCGATGGAATGACTATTGCATTGTTTTGATCTTTTTTTCGGAATGCTAACTTTTGAATTGATATAATAGTGGTTTGCATAGGTAACGGTCCCGAAAGAGAAAATAATTTAACTTGGTACTCTTTAAGCCAAAAGTGTTTTTTTACAAGTCTCTGTTGTCTACATGTTTGTGCTTTGGTTTTTCTACTAGTCATCAATCATCATTAAAGACATATACTACTTTGTTGCCAATTACTTGCTTACGGGATTTAATTTCTTGAATTTTTGTGCCATTTTATTGCTACGACTCAATGCGTAATATTTTCTATTAAGTGTAGTACCTTGAGACGGAGGAGGAAAGATCAATCTATTGAAATTTTGGAGGCACATAAAGTAGCAATCCAAGCCGTTACAATTTTACCTCCAGGTGAGCTTGTGACTAGTGTAGATTTTTGCTCGAGTATTATTTTATGCTATTTATTTTATGGTATAATTTGTTAGCGTTCTCTTTTCTTTTCTTCTCATTTTTGTCTTAAACCTTAAAGGTCTTAATTATCGTCCCCAATCTCCATCATGTGCTTAAGATTTCTTATAGTTATCAAACCAGAAAGAAATTGATGTGAAAGTTAAAGATCCTATACGATGTTTCTTTGGATACGATGAACGATGGCAATTTTTGTCAATGGTAATCTAGATTCAAGTGACACATCTGTATATATACTTTTGAAGGGCAAACAGGTTGGCTTATTGCATGTCTACATGGCTATTGCTTTTGGATATCTTTGAGTATATGTAATTTTTATTTATAAATATTAATGGTGTGTTTTTTTAATAATTGTGGTGGTGGTTTAAAGTTTCTGTTGCTAGTGAAAAACTTGATTTAATTGTCGTACTCTAGATAATCTTTAAATA